ATAGGTACTATACCTAGTGCGGAAAGTAGTGTACTCCTCTAAGTTAGGGTCTATTTAGATCTTATTAAAGGCAGCACAAATATCTAGCTTAGTAAAGATTTTTGCTTTAGCTAGCTAGGATAATAGATTATCTATATAGGGTATTAGATACGCGTCCTTTTACGTTAAGCTGTTAAGCTTATAGTAATCTACACAGATCCTAAGGCCTCTATTTAGCTTCTTAACGCATAGGATAAGAGAGGCAAATAAGCTCTAACTAGTCTTAATAAAACCTTTCTATAGGTGCTCTTGTACATATTCCTTAGTAGCCTAGAGTTCCTTAGTATTTTAACAATAGAGGGGACTCTAGTAGTTTAGAAGGGGTTCCTCTAGGACTATCTTATAGTTATAAGGCTAGTAGATTAGAAGTTTGTTAGCCTTAGCCTTGTTAAAGACGTCCTAATAGGAGTTATAGTTAGATAGGAGCTTCTAATCTAACAAGCGGTAGTTAAGAGTATCCTATTTAGATAGGGTTTAGATCCTACGCTTAATCTTATATAGGCTAGTAGTAAAGAATTTATTAGAAGATTTTTTTATATTAAAATAGAAAGCATTAGTAGAAATAGTAGTAATTTAGAATTTTGCAGGTAGGGTAATAGTTAGCGATTAGACTAGGGTAGGTAGCGTGATAGGTTTAGGAGCAGCCCTATAAGTAGCTAGAATTTTAAGTATACTACGTATCCTATTAATTAAACCAGGACTATTTTAGTTCTAGTTCTCCTCTTAATCCTAAAGGGCGTCTCTTTGCAAGATATTATAGGTAACTAGAGTAGACAGCACTTGCTAGTAGAGTCGTACTAGAATTAGAGGAGCAGGGTCGTAGGTTAGAGGATATTTCTCTAGCTAGATTAGTTAAGATTTATCTATATTAATTAGGATTTAGAACTATTTTAGCTAGTGTTATCTAATAATATAATCCTAAGAACCTAAGTCTACTATTATAAAGGGGCAGTTATAAACCTTTTAGCTACTAACTATTATATAAAGCTAAATATAGTAAGCAACTAGGGAGGTAATCTAATCCTAGAACCCTTTAATAGTAAGCTTGTATAGTAGCTTTTAGATAGGTACCCTAAGCGTGGAAGAGATATTATAAGCAATTTTTAAATTAAGAAATAAGTAACCTTAGGCCCTAGTATCTACTAAAGCGTTTAGGCAAATACTAGATCTATTAAGGCACAGGGTTATACGTGCAAGTAAATAGGAACTAATAAATAATTTAGTTAAGGAAAGGTTTAATAAGTTATATTAAGTTAGGCCTAGGAAGGAGGATCCTCCTAGGCGTTATTATTTCCTGTCTAATAGCTATCTAAATTAGTTAATTTAGCAGTTTCTTCTTCCTTAGAATTCTTAATACCCTATTCTATATCTATAGCCTAGATCCTAGGGGGTTTAGGGTAGTTACTAGAGAAGTGCCTAGGCTTTCTACAATTATAGCAAGTTACTAGGATTCCTATTGTAGTAGCGCTAGGAGTGGCTAGCGTAGTAGATAGGGGTTAATTATTTTAAGGGGTAGTGCCTTATTATTATAAGTAGGGCATATAAAGTTTAGCTATTAAAGGTCTATTATAGGGTTTCTAATTAGCGTCTAAATAGGACTAGTTTCTAGAGTGTTAGAAGGGGGTTAGTCCTTTTCTAGATAATAGAGTAGTCTAAGGAGGAGTAGATAAGGTAGGGTATAGGTAGTGTTCTATATTAAAAGTAGTAAGATAATCTACTATAGTCTTAAAATTATTATGCTAATTCTATTAGAAAGCAAGGTTTAGTATCCTTAGGGAAGGTGTAATCTTTATCTAGAGGTAGTAATACTACTCTAATTAGGGTACTTCTCCTCTAATAGCAAGACTCTAGAATTATAACTTAAAGGTAGGGAACATCTCTATATTAGTTATATACAGGTAGTTAAATATAGTCTAACTCTTAGCTATCTTATTTCTAGTAATAAAGTAGGTTTAAAGGAGGGTAATTATTTCCTTAGCTTTTTAGAATTAAAGGCTTAGGGAATTAGATAGGTAACGTGGCTCTAAGTATTCTCTTGCTAGTCCTAAGTAGTGTCCCTAAACTAACGCTATCTAAGCTCTAGAAGAGGGGTAGTAATTAGTATTAATCTCTAGCCTATCCTAAATAGATGCTTGCTATTATCTAAAAGTAGGATTAGCACTATTACTAAGTATAGAGATATTTAGCGTCTTTTTAGATTATCTCTTAGCTTTTATAGTATATACTATAGGGTTTAATATAGAAGCTAAAGACTAGCTAGGTTAGGTAGTACCCTATATTTCCTTATAGAGGGAGGTGTTGTACAACTAATTAGTAAGTTACTTAACTTGTTCCTTTAACCTCTCCTTTTTAGATAGGGTTAATATATATTTATCTTTAAGGGAGGTGTTGCTTTAAGATTTCCTAGGAGCATAAGGTACCTTAAGAGATAGATAGGAAGTAGGTCCTTTAAGGAGGGCGTTGTTAATTAAGTCTTCCTTATCTAATTTCTTTCTATTAGTAAATAGGCTTTTAAAAGTAGCTAAACTAGAGGCCCTTCCTTTACCCTTATCTAATATTTTGTAGTTAATAAGAATAATAAATCTTTTCTTTTCTTTTAGGGGGTTTGGTTGTAGGAGGATATTAGCTTTGCCTCTAATTCCTCTAGGCTTTTAGTAGTCTCTAGGTCTCTACCTTAACGCAATCTAACGCGATTTTTCTAAAGGTAATCTAGCACTACTTATAGGTCTAGAAGTCTAAGCCTATAGGCTTTAGTTGTTAGAAGTTCTAATAGCTATTCTAACTATAGAGTTACAGGGTTAGGTAGCTACTAGAACTAAATTAGTAGCTTAAAATAATAATAAGTGCAATATTCTTAAATACTATTACTAGCTAGGATAATGTTCTTCTTATAATATAACAACTTAGGTAGGTAGGGCATCTAAAAGGTATCCTATATAACTTAAAGGCATATAGGAGTGCGCGTCTATACAGAAAAGGATAAGATTCCTACACCTATAGGTCTTGTACAAAAGGACAAGAAGAACATGCCTATCCTAACTATAGGCGAGCTGTTCTCTATATACATCAGTAAGTTGGGCCTTTATTAGACTAGACTTGGCATAGAACAATAGGTAGGCAATTCTGCCTTATTGTTACATACACCTCTTAATCTAAGTTTATTCCTACTATAATCTCTACTAGGCACTCCTATTAATATTAAATAATAAAAGCAATTCTAATTAATTATTAGGTTACTTAATTTTATAGCTATTATAAGCCACCCTAATCTCGCGTTTATAATTAGGCTTCTAGGATTATACAATGCTAATCCTTTAGAGCAACACCTAAAGCTTGCCTTCTAAGTGCTAAGATATATACAAGCAACTTCTAAACATTAACTATGTATTAGCAGACACCTACAGCACACGCCTAAGTATCTATTAAGCGTAGTAATATTCTTAGATGTATCCTACGCCTTAGACCTAGACAATTCTAAATTATTCTCTAGATATATCCTTAAGATTAATAGCTCTATTATCTCCTAGTCTTCTAAGAGGCAGAGCTATATCGCGTAAAGCATATATAAAGTAGAGTACATAGCAGCGTTATATACTACATTATATTTAGTCTAGGCACGCAACGCTATTAAGGAACTTATTTAGACCCTACTATGCTTACTTATAGTAGATAATAAACTAGCTATATTACTTATTTATAACTACAAGCTTATATTACAATCTAAGCATATACATATTTACTATTATTTTGTTTGTAAACACTTCCTTGCTAGCAACTACAATATCTAACATATTTACTCTACTAATAACTTAGCTAATATCTGCACTAAAGCTCTACCACGTCTAGTGTTAGAAGGGCTTAATAAGAAGATTTTAGAGATAACAGTTTAACTGCGTAGCTCCTTTTAGCATTTTATTTTATTTATATACTAATTCACGGTACTATTAATTTAGGGGACTGTTATTTTTGCATTGCTAGCACCTGCCTTTCACTAGTTAACACCCAACTATGGTCATTGCCCTCCCGACCATGGTCACTGCCCTCATCCTATCCATGGTGGATAGGTTGTTGACATGTCCTGATCAGGACTAGTGGTGACGCGTATATATAGCGGCCCAACCCCTATGATAGTTTTGAATCAATACTTTCTACAATAACTTCACACTATTCATACGAGCAATCTTCGACCGAATCCTGAGTTTTACTGATCACCTGTCATCGCCGCAATGGATTACTTGCGCAAGATCCTCATACCGGCACACGTCACTCTTCACCGCTATCACGTAGACGGCCGATCACATTCTCCGGAGCTTCCGTCTGAGGCTCGCGTGCGAATACGCGCACGTGTCGGGACGGCGCGTTTTCGTCATCAAAAGAATTTGGCCACACTAAGTACGGGTGATCAACAGAATGTGAAGCTAAACTTGTAGCCCAAATTTTCAAATGCCGTGTTTTAGTTGGCAGTGCAAATTAGCGCTCACTGCTCGAGCAAACGTATCACCGCTTGTGCCACGCTGCTAGAAACTAGACAGAGGATTCACTGGTTCGAGCATGTGCTTGATGCAGAGCACATTCTCGCCTCCTTTGCACAAAGCCGCCTTACCAACAGTATGTCCCACGGCCCAGGTCTCAGAATTTAGCATCGAGTCAGTGATCAGCGGACCTTTGGACCCATGACCCCAATTACCTCTCGATTGCCTTCAATCCTTCTCTCCATCACTCGGTATCCTCAGTTGTGTTCCACATACATGTAAAGAGTACAGCACATGGCATGATGGGTAATTTGGTAGGGAGTGTGTAGTTCCTGTTTCATTGCATCACGCATCTAGCGCGTGACGGGACGGAAGAAAGACAGTGCTTAACGCAATCACTTCTACTTTGCTCGATGGATGAGATCTTCATCGCAGCAAGGTGTTGTGCTCAGCTGTTATACTTGGTGTCCTATTGACAATCACAACAGATCAAGTTCGTCGACGCTTGCTTTTGCGCGTAGTCTCTTGCTTGACTTCCACTACTCGGTGCTCGTCTTCTTCAGGCTCCTTCTTTACTCTCTTCCGTTTTGTAACCTCCTTCTTGACAGTCGTCTCAATGACCATGTCCTCCTCCTTGATAGTGATAGCTTCTTCCTTGACTTCTGTCTTCGCAGTCACACGCTCCGAGAATGCCTTCAGATCTGCTGTGAAGAGAACAGAATGCGCCCAGCCGGCCTCTTTGCCCCACATCTTGCGGAAATGATTCCCAATAGCAAGGTAGGTCGCAGCTGTTAGGCTACTATGCTTCCCCTTTCCAAATCTATAATCACGCTGCGCAATTTGCCAGACGTGTGTGTCAACAGGTACAGATTCGGACCACCCTAAACCGAACAAACACACGCAATCAGCTACTTTTGGGCCTACGCCGTGGAGAGCCAGTAGTTCCTCGTGTGCTTTACGGTACCCTACACGACCATCGTCCATCATCTCGCCTGCTGGCATCTCCTTGGCCCCGAACTGAGGACACTCGGGATTGCTTAAGTCCTCCAACCACTTTAGACCTTTCTCTTCGGCCACAATGCGCGCAGTCTTTGCAATGTATTTTGCTCTGTAGCCAAATCCCAGCTTTTGGAGATGCGCCTCCACGCTCGGGCCTGATAATGCTTCTGGTGTAGGGAAGTCGTGGTAGGGCACGTCGTCGATTCGATCGATAAGTGGTCCATAGTGTAGGCAGAGATTTTGTACCATACCCCCTATGCGACTGATGTTGTTGTTACTGCTACAAATGAAACCAATGAGTGCCTCCCATGCATCTTGTCTTAAGATTCTTATGCCTGTGAACTTTGGCGCCCGTTTCTTGAAGTTTGCATCTGCGGCCGCCCATTGCTCATATAGCTGGCCAAGGTCTGGAGCAAGGTTGAAGTAGTGTTTGACCAGGGCCGGGGTATCGTCTTCATCCAGCGCAACCGATGGCGCATTGGAGGGTGGCGGAGTGGGAAGAGCAGATGTACTTGATGGGAAGATGGCGCGGTAATGTAGGCACTCGGCGTCCTGGCGGAGGGAGAGTATGCGTCCATGGAGGGCCATGGACCACTCGTCTTCGGCAGATTTGCGCCATCTATAAGTAATTATCATCAGTTTGTGTACCTATAGGGGACTCGAGAACCGAAACGTCGAGGGAAGCTTACCTGAATGACTGCCCGCAACGTAATGTCGTATTTAAACACAGCTCAGTAAGACTTGTGGGCAGCTTGTGCCATTCTGCAGCCCGCAATGCCATGATATCGAGGTGAAGTGAAAGACACAATCAGTTCATTTGCGAGTCGCAAGGGTGAATGCTACTATGTACCATGTCCCCTGGGTCTAGCCTGGCTTCTGGGACAGGGGTGGTCGCGCCAAGCAGCGCTAGTGAAGGGTCGACTTTCTCACTACATAGACGTTTTGCGCGACTGCACGTCTACCACCGCCCGAGTATCGCGTCCTAATGCTCGGATAGCTGCTTGTGGCCACTTCATCATCCTCATCTTGATCCAGATCTGCTAATCGCAGCTTCCTGAGCCATCGCAATCCGCCGCCCGCTGCCAAACAGTGCGTAGGCTGCAATCCTAGCATAGCGCGACAGTTTCTCCAGCTTCAGCTTCAGCTCCAGCATTAGCCACAGCGCTCTCTCTCGCGCCCAACATGAACGGCGAAAGCTATTCCCGAGGTAAGCGAAGCATTTCAGTACACGCACTGACTAGTGTATAGTTCTCCCCCAAGATGATTGACTAACATACGCAGACGGTGGCCGCTCGAGTGGTTCGAGAGCATATGTGAGCGCAGCTGCCTTCCGAACCATTGGACCATATACTGACCATACAGTCTTCCCGAGACGAGACGCGCGATCGCAGCGACCGTGACCGACATCGCCGCCGCCGCTCGCGATCACCCCGCCACGGTGGTGGAGGAGGCGGTGGATCGCGTCGCGACTACGAGGTTGACACGTACTCGTCCAGCCGTGATTACCGTGAGCGTGAGCGCGAAGACACATATGCCCGTCGTGAGAGGCGCGATGACCGCGGTGCAGAGCGCGGAGGTGGCGAGCGCGGTGGCCGGGACTGGGGTGACTCGTACTCGAGGCGCGACCGCCCTCGTGGGGGGGACCGTGACCGCGACGACGATCGTCCTCCCCGCCGGGGTGACAGAGGCGACCGCGGTGAGCGGGGTGGTGACAGGTTTGAAGGCGGTGGCCGTGGCGGAGGTCGCGGTGGACGAGACGGGGGCTTTGGCGGCGGCCGTGATGGAGGCTTTGGCGGTGGACGTGACAGGGGCAGGCAGCAAAAAGAAGAATCGCCGCCCTTCAACAAGCCGCGCGAGGCCACACCAGACCTTAGCAACTTCGTCAGCATCCTGGAGCGCCCTCGTCGTATGACACAGTGGGACATCAAGCCCGCTGGCTACGAGAACATTACCGCTGAGCAGGCCAAGCTGTCCGGTATGTTCCCGCTGCCGGGAGCTCCTCGCGCTGCACCCATGGACCCATCCAAGCTGGCAGCTTTCATGACTCCCTCGGCTGGATCGGCTTCTTCTGCTGCGCTTGCGCCATCCGCGGCGAAACAGTCGAAGCGTCTCTACGTTCACAACCTGCCTTCTGGTGTCAGCTCCGAGGAGCTCATGGAGTTCTTCAACCTGCAGCTTAATGGTCTCAACGTTGTGTCTGGCCAAGACCCTTGTCTGTCCGCCCAGATCGCGACTAGCAAGGAATACGCAGCCCTCGAGTTCAAGACACCAGAGGATGCTACCGTGGCCCTTGCCATGAACGGAATCTCTATGCGCGAAGAGAGTGGTGGACCCGACCGGTCAGGCTTGTCGATTCGTAGGCCCAAGGACTACATCACCCCAACTGCAGACGATAATGCCTACACAGGTGACGAGGTGTCGAGCGTTGTCAAGGACAGTCCAAACAAGCTCAGCATTGTCAACATCCCCACCTACATTGAGGAGGAACAAGTACGCGAACTCGTTGGAACTATGGGCAAGCTCAAGGCCTTTGTCCTAGTCAAGGACGAAAGCACCGATCAGCACCGCGTAAGTGCCATCTTCTCACCACACGATATATTCAAACTAAGATCATAGGGTATCGCTTTCTGCGAGTATGCTGACAACGAGATCGTCGATGCTGTCATTGAAGGCCTCAACGATATCCCTCTCGGTGATGGCAACCTGAAGGTAACCCGCGCGACAGTCGGTCTACAACAGACTGCTGGTCTCGACGGCGGTGTCGGTGCCATCTCCATGCTTGCAGGAGCCAGCGCAGCTGAGAATCGCGAGCACAGCCGTGTCATTTGCCTCATGAACATGGTCACCTCTGAGGAATTGATCAACGATGAAGAATATGAAGGTATGGTTTTCCACTTCGCATCCCATGTCTCGCCCTAGTCAGCGCCATATTCGAACATGTTCTAACCCAAGAAAACAGAGATCAAGGAAGACATCGAAGAAGAATGCGGCAAATTCGGAACCATCCTCGAGACAAAGATCCCCCGCCCAGCAGGAGCACGCGTCAACCTCGGTGTCGGCAAAATCTACATCAAGTACCAGGACACAGAGTCGGCGCAAAAGGCCATCAAGGCGCTTGCAGGCCGCCAGTTCTCGAGGAGGACAGTGGTTGTGACGGAGTTCTCCGAGGAAGGATTTGATGTCGATGCCTGGTAGATGTCTCAACATCCCTTGCCCCGGCCATAACTACAGCGTTTTGTTGTGCTTCAAAAGATGATCCTTTGCGTTCGCGCAGGAATCCATCCTCGTGCATACGCAGCGGCAAAAGCTCGAACTACTCGAGATCCCGTCTACGATTAATTCCCTTGCTTTCCAATATTAGCTATAAAAATAAGCAAAACCTGCTACTGATGAGATGGCGAGTGGACAGGCAGCAGAGCAAAGAGGAAAAGCTAGCAAGCTAGCAGACTTCTTTGATGTATACTAATTTGTTCTTTTGGTTTATCGTAAAGGCCGATGAAAAGACGTGGGCTGTGTGTGGTTGGGTCAGTTTTTGAAAGCGTCACGGCGGGACCGAGCAAACGGCTGATGAGAAAGTCTGGGTTCTTGCATGGTTGTGTTCTTCGTGGGGCATTGAGCATACATTTATGCATGTGTGTGTATGTTTGTTGCGCCGCCTGACGGGGAGCTAGCTGTATAGCTAACCATCTGTCTAGCTCATACAGCATCAGTCTGAAAGCTGTCAATTATCACTGCAGAGTTTGCATCGCGCTTTGTTTCTTGTGTTGTGGGTTTGCCTAGTGCACTGCCTACCCTATCTCCAACAGGCGACTGCGTGTTTGTGGTTGTTCATGTGAACGGAGATAAGATATGGTCATCATGTATGTGAATGTGTCTCGCACACTACACCCGACGGCTTTAAGCAGATTATCCCCTATTCAGTGTTCTTGACCGGCTCGATTGGACTACACATCGGACGTGCATAGCTCGACTGGGCAAGTCAGCACGTAGGTAAATTCATGTGGCCGGTGAGACCTCAAGAGCAGGACTTGAGCGTAAACGTTATCGCCGCGCGCATGCTTGGTAATCGCCGTGTGGGAGATTATCGTACGCGGACTGGGGAGGTAAGTGCGCAGGGCGTTGGGGGCCTTGTCGTGGTGGTTGGTTTGAGACGTGTGGTTGGGGTTGTCAGGCTGGCTGGTTGTTGTTGAAGGTGGGTGTTTTGTCAGCAAGGGTGGAGGGATAGAGAAATGTTGTCATGGTGTATGGGAGTTTCGGTGATGCGCGATTGAAGGATGTATTATTGTGTTTGCGTTGGTGGAGAGAGTTGGGTAGGGTAGGGTATGGTACCTACTTTCGAACTGATTACGGTACCGTAAGAGATGCAAAGCTGGGATGAAGGGCCGAAGTGTTGTAGCTACCGATTGCCATGTATGAAGCTCCAATTTATGAGTGCTTGTATGATCATGTCATGCTTTTACGTTGGTAATTCTCGTGAACTTCGAGCTATCTCGAAGCACACTACCCGTGAGATCATGACTTGCCGTTGCGGTAGCTTTCTGTATCACAAGTTGTTGCCTGTGCAGCCTCGTGCTTGACTCAACCTCCACCTCTTGACTTCTCCACCCCGCCCGATGGCGCTAGGAAACAGGCGGGGCGGGACGACCATCTTTCTACTCTAACTTTAGTCCGGCTTGGTTTGTAATCCGCTGATGCACAGCCAACAGCGGTAGACCCTGTGATACAAAGGATGGTTACTTACATCATTACTTCTGGACTCCATCACAACCAGAAAAGAAAGGCCAAACTATAGATAACAAAGGTCGTTCCCACGCCAGGGACCTCTCTATTCTACTGCTAAGGTCCTACCGACGCTACATCTGACTACACCCGTCCCATCGCCCTCCTCCCCCCCGCGTACCCCACATAATGATAGGCAAATTCCTCTACTCACAATGGCTCGTCACGCCCCCGATGCCCACACACGACTTCACCGGCAAAACCGTGCTAGTCACCGGCTCCAACGTCGGTCTAGGCAAAGAAGCTGCCCGCCACTTCGTCCGTCTCAACGCTGGCACTGTAATCCTAGCCGTGCGCTCTCTCGACAAGGGCGAAGCCGCCAAAACCGATATTGAAGCCACCACCGGTCGCAAAGAGGTCATCAAAGTAATGCACCTCGACCTGTCCTCGTACGCCTCGACGCTCTCCTTTGCCGATAAACTGAGTCAGGAGGTGGAAAGGCTGGATGTAGCGGTGCTAAACGCCGGCGTCATTCGCGGGGAATGGCAAGTCTTTGAGCAGGACGAGAGCACGATTACTGTCAATGTCGTGTCCACATTCCTCCTGGCCTTTGCTTTACTGCCCCAGCTGCGGGCGACGGCGGAGAAATTCGGGGTCAGGCCGACAATGACGGTGGTGAGTAGCGAGGTTCACGCGTGGACGAACTTTACAGAGCGGAATGCACCCGAGGGTGGCATCTTTGCGAGGCTGAATGAGCCAGTTGTAGATGGGAAGAAGGTCAACTTGTTGGATAGATATCAAGTGAGTAAGTTGATGGAGATCTTGTTTGTGAGGGCTTGGTGTGGGAAGTTTCCCAAGGAGAAGATTCCTGTCACGATTAATACTGTTAATCCGGGGTACTGTCATTCGTAAGTCTCTCCCGTCCTCATATTCCATTTCGCGTGTGCAAGTACCTTGAGGCAGGAGATTCTGATACGTTCTATCTAGTGAATTCGGCCGAGAAACAGGCCTGGTCGATGCATCGATGCGGTTCGTATTCGCACGCTCCACAGAGGTGGGAAGTAGAACGCTGGTTCATGCAGCAAGTCATGGGGCAGAGAGTCACGGGGCCTATTTTGACGACTGCAAGATTGCGGGGCCGAGTGCGTACGTGAGGAGTGAGGAGGGGGCGAAAGATGGGGAGAGGGTATGGAAGGAGTTGATCGACAAGTTGGAGGGAATCAAAAGCGGTGTTACGAAGAACTAGACAAAGGGTGTCGGACTGGAAAATAGGTTTTGTGGATACAGTCAACTTATTTTCTTTACAGCCAGTCACTCATCTTCTTCTTTCTGTTGAATGCGTTACTGCAGCTGCTTAGGTCAAAAGCTTTTCATTCGCATCATCAGGTCCCTACGTAAGCTTTTTCTTCAACCAGCTCACCCCTTGCTGAAGAGCAACTAGTTCATCGTCATACTCTGCCCATCGAAACACGACCCCCACAATGCCTTCCTTGGGTTTCTTCGTACCGGGGATCACCACTTTACCACGGAAATCGTGCCTCCCGTCACTGAAGACGACCTTGACCACTCGTTCGTCTTCTACAAGATGACAAAACTCTCTCCATTCGTCTTTGGTGACCATGTTGCTTGTAAAAGTTGGTAGGTTGTCGTGATACCTGCAGATCACTGGCATCTTGAGTACGAGATGGTCGTGGCCAGAGGTCATGTTAAGGTTGAGTATTCGTTCGCCGAAGCCATGTTTCGGGCCGTATAATACATTGTTCAGCTCTTGATGATGAGCGGCTGCCATGTACACGATGAGATCTGGGGGCTTTGTCGACAGAAGTGCCATTGCGGTCGAGGTATATGCTTAGGTGCGATTGTATATTGTAGGCGTGTACACATTGTCATGCAGTCGAGGAGTTGAAATGACGTGGATTACATCGGGTGACTGTATGTGCGTTGACAGTTAGTCTCCGTTGGTTTGTCAATGGTGAGAATTGGAATTGGACTCCGAGAGTTCTGAGTTTGAAGGTGTGTGTGTATGGGTGTATGGGTGTATGGCTGTGTGGGTGTGTGTTGTCACAGGCATGTTGCACGTCCAGCCCTCGTGGCATCGAAACGACTGTATAGTATGTGTGTACAGATCGCCATAATGAAAGTAAAGGAAGCCTTACGGTACCGTTGTGTCGACTATTCAGAGTTGTCAGCGAGAAAGCACCATGGACAGGATTTGTGTGGCAGGTCAACGTGTCATGCCTGACCAGCACATTACACCGCCTGCAACGCGAGTCAGTACCAGTGGCCCCCCCAACATGGAACAGCGTCTCCTCCACAGCGTCCCAGGTCCATTGAGCCATCAGCTATGACCATAGTATCTGCACTAGGTATTCTTGCAACCCCTCCATCAATGTCTCAAAATGGACAAGCACTGGATCGTTGAGAAGACCTCTAGGCTCGTGATGCGCATCACCTTGCAAGCTTCCTCGATGGAGACCTATGGTAGCTATAAGCCTATTTATTTGCTATAAATAATTACAAGGATCGAGATTTGGAGTGTCATAGTCTCAAGGATTGTAAATTGATCATCGATGTCGCCTTCCTATAGTGCTTATAAAGGACGCAAACTCAGCGAATCGGAGTGAATATAGTTCCGCATGCTTGTGAGCTCTCCGCTCAGGTTCACGCCCTACGCCTTCAACACCATTTTCTCGCAATGCCGCCGCCACGGATATATCAGTTGGCACGCCTCTTCAGTACGTGGTCTTGTCCCATACGGCGCGACTGACCTCACCATTGTCCAGCAACATCTCGATCGCCTCTCAATCACGTTATCTCGCCCCGCAGTTTCCCCGCAATCTGCTCACGCAAGCTTCACGCAGCAACACCATACCTTGCCATGTCTGAATTTGACAAGTATACCGCCAAAGGTAGCAAAGGAGCCTTTGCGTCGGATTTGTCGACCCACGATGGCAATGCTTGGGGTGCGGCGAAGAACCCTGCTGCGTTCGATTTTCGCTCCGATGTGCACACCACGCCCACAGCATCCATGCTGACGGCGATCCAGCAATGCACGCTCCTCGATGATGTTACTATGGAAGACCCTACCACACTGTCACTGGAACGCTTTATTGCCGACCTAACAGGAAAAGAAGACGCGTTGTTCATGCTGTCAGGTACAATGGGCAATCAGGTCGCGCTACGAGTACACCTCACAGCCCCTCCACACGCAATCATATGCGATCGAAGGGGTCATATCATAAACTATGAGGCAGGTGGTGTGGCGACTTTGAGCCAGGCCATGGTACAGCCTCTCGATGCGCAGAACGGAACGTATCTCACACTCGAGGACATCAGGCAACACGCTGTTCTGTCCGACGACGTCCATGGCTGCCCTACACGTGTTATATCTTTGGAGAATACTCTGAACGGTGCTGTTATGCCTCTGTCCGAGGTGAAGAGGATATCGGCATGGGCGCGCGAGAACGGCATCATCATGCATCTGGACGGCGCACGTTTATGGGAAGCCGTTGCAGCGGGTGCAGGCACTCTGAAAGAATTCTGTGCAGAGTTTGATAGCATAAGTCTGTGCTTCAGCAAGGGACTCGGTGCACCCATTGGCAGCATCATTGTGGGAACGAAACCGTTCATCAAGCGCAGCCGCTGGATACGCAAATCCATTGGTGGCGGACTGAGGCAGGCAGGCGTTGTAGCAGCACCGGCCCGTGTAGCTGTCGAAGAGACTTTCCTGGGCGGCAAATTGGCTCAATCGCATCAGACTGCAAAGAGGATCCAGCAACTCTGGCCGCTCTACCAAACGTCTAGGTCTCGGCAATTCACTTCTACG